ATATGTTTTTGCTTAAATATGACTTTTTCCACATGGCTATCTAATACACCACTCATCATATTGAGCTACCACCAGAGCATTCTGAACCTTAAACGACTCCAAAGCAACCTGCATGCTCAGAATTAGGATGTAAATGTTACACAGCAGCTCACGTCTTATGGAAGCAATGATGAATGTTACTGACACTAAAGGTATTCAGAAAAGCTTTGTTATTAAAAAAAAAACTTCAAAGATGCCGGTGTCTCTGCGTTATTAGAGTTTTGAGTGATGGGAGGCAACAGCATCACGACAACATAATTAACAAAGGAGAAAAGTCAGAACGGTACAATTTTTAACAGCTATTTCCAAGGCAATCAGTGATTCTGTTGTGTGGATGTGTAGTGAAAGGCCAAGGAATTATGTAAAATTCAGATAAAACCCGGGTTGACCATTTAGCCTGCAAACACTTTAAAATGGATTATATACATATCAGAACTAGAGCCACATATGGAAGTGGATCATATTTTCTGTGAAGTAACAAGGACAGAATTGTGCCGTTCAGACTGAACAGTTATGAGTCACATGTGGGATTTGAACTGCATTGACCTGAAATATACACCTCATACCAGCTGTGGTACAAGTATTCTTCTCTCTAGAATAATTTCTTCTGTCTGATAAATGCAGTTTTGATTTTTAATGTTTTAAAACTTGTGATTAGTTTGAGACTTCAAGATGCAGAGAGACTGGAAGCAAAAAACAAGGTTGGGCTAGAGCCCTGCAGGGAGCAGCGGGTAGTGGAGACCCACTAAATATCCTGATCTGTATTATATCCAAAATATTAAATAAATGGGACTAGGTTTGCAAAATAAAAAGCAAAACTTAAAAAAGTTGGATTTTAGGGGATAACCTAGAGTGTTTAAATATTTTCCGTTTAAGATTTTCAATCGTTATATATAATGGAAGGGAATCGTTATGTTTCACAGTTGGCTAAATCATCGAGTAGGTTAAACAATTTTTCACTCTTAACATGGATAAAAATAAGAATATAAAAAAAAAACTTCTCAGAAGATTAAGATGCTCTGGGTTGTAAAGGGAATCATTTACTTTGCGCATATCTTCATTAAATTCTGTCTTGTTTACAGGCTGCTGAGCTGGCGGAGCACTCAGCCAAGATTGCGTTGCTGGAGGAGGCCAGGAGACGCAAGGAGGAGGAGGCGAGCACATGGCAGAACAGGGTAAGAGCTCTAAGTGTCTGTCAATTAAATAAACGTAAAGCATCCTCATGGTGTAAGTCGGATCACATCTAAGAAAAATAGCTTTCCCAGGGAAGCACCCATTTTGACCTCCTCTGTATTGATCAGGCTCGAGAAGCTCAAGACGACCTAATCAAGACCAAGGAAGAGCTTCACATGGTGATGACAGTGCCCCCGCCTCCCCCTCCTCCTCCTGCATACAACCATGTGGATTACAATAGTGACAGCGAGGACAACAACAGCACGCACAGCACCGACCTGCAGGTGGACGGTTTCCATGACCACCGCAAAGAGGAGGAGCGTCTGACCGAGGTGGAGAAGAACGAGCGCGTCCAGAAGCAGCTCAAGGTGAGGGAAAGAGGAACATGGTGGACAGAAACATCAATTCGCTGGATTAAAAATCACATGTGGAAAACAAATCCAGTTAGTCTGATAAAAGGATTTTAATTCCAGATACATTTAAAAATGCCATGAAAAATAAATAGCTGTTCACAGCTAAATTTGCAAACATTTCTTAGAAAGGGTTTGTAATCCCCACATTAAATACAGCTTTCCATACAATGCAAGAATTAATATTTGTTTTATAAGTTTTCTTGGGAAATTAATAAAAAAAAACCATCTAATGTTAAACAAAATCACATAATGTTAAGTTTACAAAAGATTTCAGAGGTCGGTGAACCACGAAAAATAGAAATTCAAAAAAAAAAAAAGCCCAGGTCAAACCATTGGGCTCCTAGGAAGAGATGTTTAATAGCTAGATAATCGGTTTTCCTCTATAATCCTCTCACTTTGCTCCTTCTCCCTCCGCTCCACAGGCTCTGACCTCCGAGCTGGCTCAGGCCCGTGACGACACCAAAAACACCCAAAATGATCTCCTTCACAGCGAGAACGTGCGGGCTGGCCGAGACAAATACAAGACCCTGCGACAGATCCGTCAGGGCAACACCAAGCAGAGAATCGACGAGTTTGAGGCCTTATAAGCTGACGTCGCCGCTCGAGCGCACACTTTCTGAATGGTCGCTATCTATCTCACTCTACTGTTGAGACACACAGAAACCCCCTTCAAATGCACCCAAAGACATGTTAAACACGCGCTGGTAGCAAACTAAACTAAAGCAGTAGAAGTACTGCAGAAGACTAGCAGGATGCAGGGGCCTTCAAAACCTTAGTGCCAAAATCTTCTTTTTCTTCTCATAGTGTTTTCGTTTCTGTATTTTTTCTTTTCTTTTTTTGATGGATTTTTTTTTTTTTCTTCACTGGAGGTTTGATGAAGAACTGGGAAAATGATTGTAATGCACCCTGTAATCCAAATATTGCAATGAAAGAAAAGTGCTTGTTCATAGCGACCACTCAGAGAGGGGAAGACAGTATACGCAGGAAAATTAATATTTATTTTCCATTATATTTGAACACTTCCAATTATGTTTATTTTTGCCCTAAAGGAAAACATAATCATGCATAGTTTGATATTTATACTGTATATGGGACATAAAGGGTATTTTATCTCAGTTTGTATATTTTTGCTAGCTACTAATAATAAAAGCTTTTATTGTTTCAGAGGTTTTATACATCGATCCAAATAACAGTAGTTTTATGTTCCATATGTTGTCCTTTAAATCATATAATTAAAAGAGATATATTGTAAATTATTAATTTTATTTTAGGAGAATAACAGTTGCATGAAAAAAAAATGGTTCAAATGAACTTGCCAATTACTTTCATTTAATCAGCTCTGCAGATCATTCAGAGCACTGTGTTCAATGGTACACAAAGTTTAGTTAGCAGTTCTATAATGTCATGTTACAACATAAAATAGAAGCAAATATTGGAGGTTTTTAGCCTCTAAAGTGGCCTTTCTGTTGGGACCGTTACAATGAAGTGTGGATGTTTAAGTTGGATGTTTTGCCAAACTTTTATCACCTTTGACCAAAGCAACATTTACTGAAGCTCATGAAAACAATCCACTATGATGAAATTTGTACATAACCAGGATTTTATAATGAGGTGTTCAAGATATTGCCAATAAAGTAACTTGATTTGTCACCTGTGTGTGTTTATATAGTCTATTCTAGACTTTATCTTCAAATAATAGCTTTTTGATTGTTTTTTTTTTTTTTTAAGGAATCAACCTGTGGATGAGAGAAATAAATGAACAGGAGAGTTTGTTTCTGTGTAAAAAACAAAACAAAAAAGAGCCCCGTTATTGAAATAAACCTGAAATACTTGCTGGAAATGTAAGCACAAGAATGATTTCTGCAGGAAAAGGAAAATATTATAGGGACTCTGATTCTCTATATGCATTGTGTCTGAAAAGTAGTGGCTGGAGCCTGCATGATAAAACAGTTTTATTTTAACAGCACGAGTCAGTTTTGAGTAGAGAGCTTTGCAGAAGTATTAAAAAGATCACTCCTTAATCTGTTCTTATTGCAACCATAGAAAGCTAGTGGGCTTTTATTCCCAACTAAACATGGATCGCAGTTTCCTAAAACAAATGTTTGATGCATAAAGCCGCTAGAGACTTGCACCGAAGATAATTCTGCAAAGCTTCCTCTCGATACGACAAAGCATTGCACACTTCATATTTTTTGTAAAAACCTATAAAAACCACATTTCCTCTTCATCTTACTTCCAGATCAAGCCTTGCATTGCATCAATCTTTCACATATAATTACAAAATAAAATTAAGGGTAAAGATCACTTTGTGTAGGCAACAAAGATAGAATAGTCAAGTTGTAATTAATGTTGAACTTTAAGTATTTTAATGACATGGAGATCAAAATATCTTTACAGGTAGAGAAGGATATTAACTTGGTTCTTTTCTCTGCAGCAGCTTCAGGCAGCTACTGCACGAAGACAGTAAATGGGTTTTCTTATAATCAGAAATAAATAATTATATTAGACATGGTAAAACAACATTACATAAATTATATGCATCATGAATAAGACAGTTGTAATGAAATAAACAGTTTATATAAAGAATAAAGTGCAGAATTATAATTAAAGCTGGGACTGTTGTGGACGGATGCTCAATAATTCCTGGTTTTCAGTCTTTTGGCAACAAAAACATCAGCAGGTTTCCAGTTGCCATGGTGACTCTAAAAACACTATGTCACTGGCCTCAGCTGTCCTTCCAGAATAATAGCCTAGAAACCAGAGAAAGTCTCTCACATGCTGCCTCCTCCAAAACAAGAAAGGCATCATTGTGCAGGAAGAAAGACTGAAGGGCCAACCAGAGCCACTTGTCTGGCTGAAACAACTATTTCCTGGGAGAGGGTGTAGCTCCAGGTTACCGTACATTAGCCCAAAATGTCAGTTCTTTTAAAAATCATGACCTTTGAGATACATGGTTTTAAGTTTTTTTGTCAAAAAAAGATTAATGTATCTTAATCTTAAAAGCAGCTTGATTACAACAGAATGACTTCGCCTTAACAACTTAGGTGAAATAAAGCTAATCTAGTTTCTTTTATAGCCCCATCTGTGAAACATGAAACAAAAAAAAAAAAACAAAAAAAACAATTAACTCTTTAAGATTATCAATATTCTTGGACTCCTGGACTTCTTTGACTTTTTACTAGGACTGAAACCATTAATCGGATTAATCGATTATTGAAACAATCGTCAACTAATTTAGTAATCGATTAATCGTTAATTGGAGAATAGAGAATCTAAAACATGTTAGCTGACAGAGTGACCCACTTAGAGCAGTAATTATATCAAAATTGTAAAAAAAAAATCAACAATTAAAAAAAAAAAAACTTTTTCGTCTGTCAATATGCTCTATCCAGCCTTTGTTAAAGCCTTTGCTTTAAAAACATATAACCTTTGATAAATGAATTTATTTCCTACATAGACTTAATGCAATCTGTTCATACCGTAATATAAAAAAAATGATTGACTTTAAAATCTTATTTTTCAAAAGAAAAGTGATTTTTGTGTCTAATGTTATTAGGAATGCTTCATAGGAAAGTTTCAACGTAAAGTGGCACTTGATACTATTAAAAGCACAACTGCTGTTATTAGAGTCCATTCAAGCATCTTCCAGATACAGCTGTGGTCCAGCAGATCCCAGATCATGTAGATGGGCTTCTTTCCATGAGTTCCTGGTTTCTTCCACATTGTCAGAGACCTAAACACATCATAAAGGCTTATGAATACCAACACAAACACTTGTGCTAAGTCCCTTTAATGCATTCACTATTACACACCAGAACACACAGAACACGCCTCAGCAGCCTGCAGACATTAAGGTGCACACACAAGGAGACTCACTGATCCACATGAAATTAATTACACACCCTGAGGTAGGCGTTGTGAGAAATGTTTGCATTATAGGGAGGTTTTTTTTTCTTTGAAGACTCTGATAAGCACAGTTGATTATTGTTATGTGGTCTGGTGTAACCTCTGTGCTGATGAAACCTCATGGTTTTCTTAGGAGAGCATAAAAGAGATGGCTTACTGACACCTACTGGTAAAAAAAAAAAGTAACTGCAAGAATCAGGAATACAAATTTCTTTAAAAAAAAAAAAAAAAAATATATATATATATATATATATATATATATATATATATATATATATATATAATAAAATAAAAAGCACAAAAGGCAAGTTCATATGCAAATGATAGATTTTACTGAAAACCTTAATACCAATATGGCAGAGCAACTCACCTGACTGTTGGAGATTCAGTGTCCATTGAAGTCTGCTGTGCTACCACTTGGAGTCTCAGCCTGATAGATGCAGAAACACAACAGGAAACACTTTTAGCGGGACATCTTCTCCAACTCATTGTTCAAACAACAGAAATATGCAACAGAATCACATTGGTTAATGCTGATTAAAAACCTTGTGCAATATGCAAGTTGGAATAAATGCAGAAACAAAGCTGCAGCTCTTTTTATGTTTATCCAAAAATATATATATAAATATAAAAAAGAACATATAGTGCTGTATATGTAAAAGAAGATAAAGGCTTCTATTTGATTGGAAAAAGATAATGATGGTGTAACGATAAAGGGATACAGCAGTAGTGATCAATGAGCTTTTTTCTGTTTGGAATCCCTGTCATGTTGGAGAACCCAATTCAATTTAAGCTTCAGCTACTTTATCCAATATGTCCCTTTTATATGAAAGAAAACCAAGATGTTCAAGAAGAGTTCGGCAAAAGTTTTGCTGTCAATCTTTGGGTCATTGTGCAGACAAACATTTTAACTTCTAACCCACCAAAAATTAACAGCTAGATGGCTGCTGAACACAGAGTGGATGTTCTAACAGGACAACCATCCCAGACACAGATTACAAATAGATTTAAAAATGTTCAATGGAAACAAACAGTAGGATTTTTGAATGGCCACAACCTAAAACCCATAAAAAGTTAGTCTAGAAAAATGTAGTCTAGACATATGGTTAAATATCCACACAGTGATATACCGGTACCAGCATTTTGTTCATGGCTAAAAATATTAAAATATTAGCAAATAGTCTATGAGTATTTTTTAAAATCATGTATCTGTGAGGGAAAACTTGTAAAACAACTCAAACTTGATAACTCATCCCTTGCTTTAAAAATCTCTTACTTTATATTTTTAATAAGATAATAAAAGAAAAAAATGTTTTTTTTTTTATGTTTTAACTTTTTTATGCCTAGAACCTCAGCCATAAATAACCAATATACAAATGTCCCTGTTTTGGGCTCTCATTTAATTTCCCATACCTTTGGACACAGTGGGTACCAGTATAAGCCTTGGAAGGTGCTGTTCTCCTGTCTCCAGCCATCCAGGGGAATGAGCACCTCACCCAAAAACACTTTCTTTGTGAGGGTCCCTGAATGCCACACAGAGGCCTGCAGTCTCTTTCCAAACAGCAGATGGCGCTCTATATTATACTGTAAAAAAGGACACAAATTATTTTATAACAAAAGAATTGCTCCCCCTACTGTCAACAAATATTTATGACCCTGATTATGTGATTACTAAAGGCCTTCAATCACTTTTTAATAATGAAAATACATTAATAGGCATTTTTTTATATTTTGAATGTCAATTTAAAACACCATGATATAAAAAATCCTGAAATAATCTTTTTATGACTAAACAATGTGTAGTTATAAATGACTGCTTCCTTAGTCTTAGAAGTTACAGAATCCTATATTTTGTCTTATTACCTTAAAAACCTCATTATAAACGGGGTCAGTTGTGTTTTTCTTCACCGACGTCTTCATTTTACTGTTTTTGTCTGGAAGCACGTAGAGTTTCACATATCTACCGAGGAGAATAAACACATAATAAGGACACTGAGTTGGAAAAAATAGTTACACTTTCAAACCACTCTCTCATAAGGCTATCCTTACGGGTGACTCTTCTTTTTCTTGCTGTTTCCATAAGCCAGATTTCTGCAGGAACCGACTGTGATCTCCAGACAAGAGCAGCTGTGGTTGTAAGCCACAGCAAGCTCCATCTCCCCAGACACAAGGATGCCCTCAAAGATCCCACACTCTGTGCTGATGCTGCTAATGCTGCCCTGCAAAATTAATTAGAACAATTTCTCCAGTTGGTCATTTTATGTCTGAAAGTTAAGAAAAGAGTTCAACTAACCCCGATTTGTCTTCTGATACTTTATTTACAGGAAGGTGTTTTGTTTTTATCTCTGATTGGTGGCTTTCACTTACTCTGTGATTAATAGATTGCTCCGAGCTGAACGAGGTTTCTTCCTCTGCACCTGTAGATGAACTCTCATGGTCGCTGTCTTTGCTTTTCTTGAACAGGTTTGGAAGACTTTCCTGTTTAGATAGCTGGCAAAGAAAAAGCAACAGCTCGTTGGATTCAGGTCATTTCGCTCAAAGGATCAACTGATGCCCCTAAAGTGAACTTCAGGAGCTGTGATTGACTTACAGAGCAAGATTTGTGGATGTCTGTTTCTGAAAGGCTTTTTTGGGTGCTATAACGAAAACATGTCCGGTTGGGGTCTACTGTCAGCAGGTCTCCTCTCACATCATTCTGAGAGTTGGAGAATCCTGAAATGAAAGAAAAAAAAATTTACACACTCCAAATATGAAGAACAACTAAGAAGATACTAAACTTTTAGATTTGGTGTGAAAAAAGGCACGGATTTCCTTAAAAGGCTCTCCGGTAAAGATATCTCTATATCTGTTATGTTTCAATTTCTGCAGCCCTGCTGATGCAGCAGTTATAAAACATCAAAGGCTTTTTCTTTCCTGTGTTGTATAAGGTCAAGCCTATTTCCTCTGTGGTTATTACTCTGCGCATATTCAGCTTCCTGGGGCACAGATCAGGCTATATTGATATGACATCCTAAGGAAGTCACGTTTCTGCATCTTGTAGAAATATTCAAACTGATTGAGTTCTCAACATGTTGTTGCATCATAAGCAGATGTATTTTTTTTTTTGTAATAATCCAGAATAAATAATTCTGTAACCAAGCAGCAGATGGCACGTAATTCACAGCTGCAGAAATCTTAACCTGAAATATGTGGCATGCTTTTTTCTTTACTATCTTCTGTATTTTTATTTCAGAAGTCCTATACTTGGTGAGTAGCGCAAACGTGAGTAGAGTACCCAAAAAAATTTACCAAGAGTAGCTCTACTTTATCATTTTTTTTTTTTTGCTCAAGTAAAAGTAAAACAGTAGCCTTTAAAGAAATTACTCCAGTAAGAGTAAAACCTTTTTTGGCTAAAAGGCTACTTAAGTACGGAGTAACTGATCTGCTTACTGCCCCTGATCATTACCACTGATAAGATATTTTATAGAACTATGTGAAATTGAACAAGAAATTCAGTGACATGTAAATTCTGCTGTTTAAAGGATAAGATATAAATAAATATATAGCATTCAGTAATTACAGAATAATACATTTAAGTAAATGTAACCTCTGGAGTTTATGTTTTTGGAGTTATGAGATACACCAATGAGGGCGGGCTCATAAGTCTTATTTCAAAAGCTATTTTTGAAAGAAAACGCCAAAAAACTGAACTGAACCACAGCTCAGCTTGTTCCAAAACACCAACCCCGCACATAACCCTGAAAACAATCCTTACAGTGGAACATGGTGGTGGTGGCATCATGCTATGGGATTGCTTTCAGCTATTGACTCTCTTGATATATTTGCTAAGGCAGAAGAATTATTGCAGTTCATGAGACCATGCCAGCTCCCTTGGATCAAACATCTTTTCAGCAGTGTATTCTAGTCTGTATATATGAATAAATATATTAATATCTCTAACAATGAATCCCATGCAGCAACTTGCTTTTGGCTGCAAAACAGACCATGCAACAATTTCAGATCCTAGCTGACATCATCAAAAGGCCTTATAGGTTTAAAATGGTGACACTATAACTACGTATACAGTATAAATTCAGGTGACCTAATAGGAAACTTTAAAAATTGTCTCTCAATAAACCAACTAAAAACATAGCTATAACATTCAAGATGTTTTTTTCAAGAATCCATTTTGAAGACACGGTACAGAATAAGTTATTTTGTCAAGAATTAAAGTCATGTTCACTATTTAACTGAAAAAAGGGACTTACTTTTAATATGACTCCTGAAGCTAAGCATGAGATCTTCCATAGATTGTGTGAAAGCCTTGGAATTCTTTAGTTCCTGCAGTAAAAGAAAAAGTTAGCTGAGGTCAGTCTGTGGCTCTGCTACACTGTGAAATGAAGTTTAAATATGTTTTAGTTTTTTTTACCCTGAATCTCCCTCTAAATTCATATTCCATGTGAGGTGGAGGCGTTGGAGGCACAACATATATGTTTCTGTGTCATTCAAGAAATTAGACATAACCAACAACAATTAGAGAAATGCAGTGGATATTAAGTAAATTAATGAAAACTAAGTAAAAACTTGGAGGTTCGTCATACCTCTGCACACTGTAGAGCTTTAATAGTTTCTCCCCAGCAGTTTCATACTTTCCTGCAAAAAGGTGTGAATATTACAACATTATATTTAGACCATCGACTGAATACTGACATGCAGTTGGCAACTTAAACTGTTTTATAGCAAAAGATGCCTAAAGAGGTTCAGATTATTATTGAAATCAGTAAATTCAATAAATGATAATCCAGAAGCTATAATAAAGCTGTCTGAGGTTAAACAAACCTGTGGTGATTTTAAATTTCTTTGCCCTTTCTTCCAAAAACCATTCTCCTGATCGGATCTTCACCTCTCTGCCAAAAAAAGGAAGGGTGAGAAAATGATATCAATCTAACAGAGAATCTGAATGAACTGATATGAACCAAACTTTCACCTAAATTTATAATCCTAAGTTGTGTATCCTTATATGTCACTTATTACCCTTTTCACAATCTCAATTAATGTTAACAGAACCCTCATCACTGATGTCCTAAGGAAAAAGTGGCACAGTAATTTATAATGGTGGCACATCTAATTGCATTAAAGTCAGCGAATGATTGAATCAACTCATTGACTTTGCAGAATTCACACAACCTGGATGAACATGAAGTAACAGTAGGTAGTGGCTTCACTTTTATCACTGCGTATCTACATTAGAGACTAAAAGCCACTTTCCACAAAGCCAAAGAGTAAGAAAGTGACGTGTTAACCAATTCAAAGTGAAAGTATCAGTCATAGCATTAAGCAGCAATCTACTATTCACACATTGTCTTTCTTGCCCTGCTTTGATTCTCACGGCTCAGGCGTTTCATCAGGGGGGCAGCACCTCTCACCTATAAGCATGGCACACTGTGCACTTCCAGTCTGTGGCCCCAACACGGCACCTGCTGCAGATGCGATGGCTGCATCCCCGGCACACAGCGCCTGTGTTCAAGAACTTTCCCAAAGACCTCTGGCACCGGGCGCAGGTTCTCTCGCCATACTGCCGGGTGTAGCTCTTGGCACCCTTCCTCCGTAGCTCTTGCAGATCACACTTCATCTTTCTTGGTAGGAAAAAGGGAAAATAATGTGGCTCTTTAGGGTTTGAATTCATGCCTTCCTCTTTTTTGTAATACAACATTTATGGTAGTTTTAGCTTAATACTGCAGGGATGCTATTGTTAAGAATAAGGACTCAAATATTGGTAGAATACCTAATGGAGACTGACTTGTTCACCTTCCAAGAGAACAAAAATGCTAAACATATTCTCATTCAGGTTGTGGAGTGGCCTAGTTAAAGTCCAGACCAAAAGCCAGCCAAGAATATGTTACATGCAAAGAATATTGTGCAAATGTTCAGTCTTTAGATGTTAAAAGCTGCACGAGTCTTACCCTAAAGTACAGCATATTTCATAAGAACCTTAAAATGCTTAAGATTTGTGACTAAAATGGTAAGAAACATACTTTCTAAATGAATTAGTTGCTTGGATTTTTGCATGCACTCAGTATTGTTGCCTGTGCCTGTGCAACTCATAAAGGGAATCATTGCATAATGTCTAAAATTATTGTCATTGAGAGACCAAAACCTACATCTCATTTTCCTTGTAAGTACTGATCTTTTATTACTTTAAGCAGAACTATTAGCTCTGACTATTTTCTTTATCTCTAAGCAGCAGTTTCATATCAGAACTTTTATCAATATTATTGTAAATTACCTGATTCTTTCCTCTTCAATCCTCCGCAGTTGTTTGTCCCTTTGAAGGACCTCAAGGACTCTTTCTCTTTCCAGAAATTGAAGAACACCTAAATCCATCTTTAAAGAAGCCGTTATGGAACAGAAGTATTTGCTTTTGTGCTTTCTGAAAGCTCTCCTCTCTGCTTTCCTCTGCAATGACTCCTCCTCTCACTCTCTTGGGTCTTTAAACCTCCCCCCTTGTTGGGCCCTCCCTCAGACCTCCCCTTTTGCCTTCTGGAGCTGAAAGATTAAATAGAAAGAGAGATAGAAAAGGTCAGTGTGACTGCTGTCCAGCTTTTCTTTCTTATGACTGGGATTTAATGGATCCATCATTCTTTTTTCAGTCAGACATGATGTTTTTTTTTTTTTATTTACACTTGACTGCATCAAGTAAGTCGACCCAGATTCAGAGGAAATATCCTGCTGATATTCTTATTGTTACAGTAATTTCAGACCTCCATCATCCTAGAATCTAATAAAAGTTTAAGATGTAAAGAGATAAACTGACTCCCTCTTTTCTATTTTTATTTTGGTAAAAAGTTTGTACTATGTTAGAATTACGCTTTTGGAAAATAAAAATTTTCTCTCTCTGCTGTGGGAAGTTCAGTCGTGCTTCAATGATGGCTGCAAACCTAAAACCAAATGCCAAGACCTGCATTATTTATGACTGATGTGATCCCGTGGCCTAGTTTATCCTTTTAGGAGGACAGAAAATGTATTTAGGGTTTTCATTACTACTTTCTGCAACTTCATTGTACAATACCTAAAAAAAGAACTCTGAGTAACTCTGTTCAGACACATTAGGAGTGAGTATGCTAAAAACCCTGCCCAGTTTAAAACTTCTGTTATAAGTGAGCACAGACAAGATGAAATATCAGGTAATGGATTTCCAGAGCAGGATTGTACAACATGTACGTTAAAACTGTTGACATTTGGCTGATGAAATCCCACAAAGCTGGAGGACAAGGAACTCCTGACAGATTTCTAAACAGATTCTCAAGTAATCAAGTTGCATTTAGGGACTTGACATCAGCCCTGACAACGTCGCCTGTAGTATTGGATTATTGTCTCTTTAGAAGGTCCACTGCTGCTTGAGGCCAAGCTCTTAAAGTGTCTTTTATATAAAGACACTTTGAGGCATCCTAAATCTGAGCTGTTTTTTTATTTTTATTTTTACAAATCATGATTGAACTGATTTAAATTTGTTTTATAACAGTAACACCTATGTGAATACGGATGGAAGTTAAACATCATGTCTATCTGACCCATCAGATGGTAGATTGATTGTGCAGTGACTTTAAATTTAAGAAAAAACAAGGAAATAATAAATATCAGCTTCGCTGTCTTAAAAAAAAAAATCTTTTCAGTTTTCATACGGAGAGATAAATTCATAGCAAATGCTTTAATATAAAAGCAGTGGATATTAGTGACATTGTATCTGGTTGTTTTTACCAGCCTGCAAGTAACCTTAACAGGTAAAGGGAGTCAACCTACCCTGATCAGGAAGATTTATAAGCTACCTGGATCATTTACTGACTGTCAATTTAAAAAATAAAATCTTTAGCTCTTAGCATTCTGCAAATGACCATGTCTGTCATACAGTTATGTCATTTTTGCAGATAAGAAAAGCAACTGTTAAACTATTAGTGTTTTGAAGTGATTTATTTTGTTTGATCTTCCTAATAATTTTCATGTATGATTCTACCTTAGGTTCTGCTGAAGTCATACTGCAATGCTCACCTCAATGCTCGTGTTTTCTGCAAAGAAGCTGCACCAACTTCCTCCAACATGGTTTGCCAACCAGACAGACTGAAATTTATTGCCACAAGTGTGTTGCACATGCACCCTGTAAACGGTTAACACTATTCTAGTCATCGCTAGATGACAGCCCTCCAAACAATCCCCTTACTCCACAGTCAGAACAAGAATAGGTGTTCATGTTCAAACTGCCTCCATTACACTCGTTTATGTAAATATGTATAGAAATATCAACAGATGTTTCCAAGGTAAACTTTCAACACATTCGTTGTTACTGTTCACATCAACTTTGCAATCTATTGCAGTAATCACCACGGGAGTCATTGCGGTCAAACCCAAACGCCATGAACTAAGGAACTGTGTAGAAAACTAAAGAAAAGGGTAAAGGCAAAGGAACCATTAATTAAACCCATTGGATATGAAAATCTGAATGCATACAGTATATATTTGATTTAACAATACACTTGAGAGGTTATGGCTGAAACTGGATATTAATGCTATGTAAGAGTTTCATGTTTCATTTGCTGACATCAAATCAAAATAAAATTTTACTTTGGAGGACACATTTAACTTCATGTTTGGCATTTGCTTAATATTTCCACATCATTTTATTTCCTCATAATCAATATTTCTTGAAGTGCATCAGTCTCTCAGTCTCTCCTGCAGACAAAAACATACAGCATGGGGCTTTCCCTTAGGATTCAGTTCGATTAAATTAAATAATACATTATTAATCTCAAAGGTAAATTCAATAAATTTGGCTTTACCTTTCCAAATATAACATTGGCCATTAAGTGTTGCAATAAATACATCCATAGGTAGGCCTACATTTGTCAGAAATAGGAATTGTTCAGCTTAAAATTTATGAAATCATCATCTGGGATAATAAACGTCGAAATGAATAGAAAATCATTCAAAAAATTGCCATTATAATTTGTTATGTGTAGTCATTTGAAAGATTTATGGTAACCCTGATTGATCTAAAAAGAAAACACTGAATTAATGGTCAGAAAGTGAGAGAAATTATTTTCCTTTTTAGAAAATGCATTTAAAAATATGAATCTGGTAGATTTTATAAATTAACCATTTTCTTTGATCTACTATTACTGAAACAATGCATTTTAAAATCGAACATTTTTAATCTATGTTCTCACTGAGCTCATCATTCCCAAGGAAGCAGAGTCATAGCTTTTTAATCTTAGAAAACCTACTGTTGAAAAGCCCTGTGTCAGCCCCTGTTAGCAGAGCCTATGCTTACTACTAACCAGAGCAGTCAGGAAGCATGCAGTTAGATAATCAGCCTTAGTTCTAATTGGACCTGAAGGATCAGCGAGAAATAAAGCAGTTAATTCAGTTTGGTGAAAATCATTTCAGGAGTGAGCAGATAAAACAGTCATTTCACACACAGCCAGCCTGTGCAGAGAAGCCAGATCACTCATGGTCTACATGGTTTAGTGGTGACAGTGTTCACATTTTGGAAGAGAGACAGAGGAGGTGTGATCGTATGAGCCCACCACATCAGTGACAGTAAAAGACAACTGAGTGATTACCACGGAACCCTATATATGGTTACTGAGAACCGTGAGAATGACCAAAGCAAATATGGGTGACGTGTTAAGCACAAGCAGAAGTGTTTCCTGGAAGACTTAGGTGAGAAACTGCATAGTTTGAGTAAGACAAATTCAAGACTAGAAGATAATTTAAGAACCAAAAGCGCCCAAGATCTCATACACTGAGATCAAAGTAGGATTTAACAATCTATTTCTCTAAATTCTAAAAAGTTGGTCAAAACCAAAACAAAATGTTGACAGAAATGATTTCTTAACCATCTTTAAATAAGATTCTTAAGTAAGTGATGCCATTTTTGCAAAAGCAACTGCATTTGGAAACTTGTCTATGATATTTCTTTCTCTTTCATAACCATTTCCTAATATCAATCTTTAAGCTGCAAATATCACATAAAACTTAAATGAACAGATGGCCACTGAGCAGGATGAAGTGGCATTACATTTACAAAAATATAAACCAAAATATCAGCCAAAAGTCATGAGAACAGAACTCTTTAAAGTGGAAAGGCTAGGTTTGCGGGCTGAGAAATAGGTCACTGCAGATGTGAGTGATGCTGACTAGTTTAGCTGCAAAGTCTTACCTTTAGTCTGAACGGCACCGACAGAGTGGTCAGCCGGAGGAAGTGGCAGATTTATATACACTGCAGGGGAAGCATGCAGAGCTCTGCTTCCTTCCTTTATGTGATCACAGAAGCTGTTGAAACCGAGAAGAGTTTTAAAAATCAGCCACTGCTGAGTTTTATCTTATCTTTATCTCTCGTTTGAAAATACCCTTTTCTGTTTACGTAAGATGACTTTAAGGTGCTTTTTCATTATCAGTGCTGATTCTAATATAGTAAAAAAGAACCAAAATCAGAAGTTCAGGGTAATATATTTTTTATATTAAATAATGGATTTGTCTATGTTTTCTTTTATACAAATACTAAAATAAAAGATATTAAACACTTTTAGGAATCTAAAAAAAATTTATATCAGAGAGTGGGGTGATCCTAAATTAACATTAATACACACAAACATTCACTCGTTTATTCTTAAGTAAGCCTTCTGGGCGAAGACATCCTTCCTTTGCCCCAAACTCCACAACATACAGCTCCCTGCAAATCCCTCAAATATGATTATGTTCAGTTTGAGCCTAAAATGCTGTTGTTAAAACCTTTCTTTCTCAGTCAAGGTTCTAGGATCTTTTTTTTTTTTTTAATGGCTGCTCACCTCAAGTCTGATTCATCAGGTGCAGCGGTTGAAGCGCCTTGTAGTCATGTCTAGAGCAAATATGATTCAGCATGTCATCTAAACTGGAGGTTATTTTGACTCATGACCCAAAATATTAGTTTAGTATATAATTATTTCTACAAAATCAATTTACAGCAGTTCTTTGATATAGCATCAAAAAACAAAAAAATTGGTTTTCTCAATTTCTAAGTGATGGTTTTATATTTGAGGCACTTGTTTAGTTTAATTTCTGCAGTGGATCTCAAGACTCCATACTGGTTTTTACCAGCAACCCGAAGTGGGTTTACATTTCCAACATAAGGAATCAATCCACTAAATACCTATTAGACAATTCCTGATTATAACTTCCTCTATCATAGATAGACAGCCTTTTGAAACAGTGGTGATCGCAAGTGCCATCAAAGCAGTGGCACAGGGAGTGGGCTGTCTAATTAGGTGAAATCAAAGGTAGGATATACTTGCAACTTGAGGCGTGTTCCTCAGGTTCCTTTACTGTAATAAAGTGTTGGAGCGGTGATCTGAATGCAGAGGAAGACTCAGGCTGAATATTTTTTTGTCTCTATCTGTATCAGACCTTGTATTTTGTTTTAACTTCCTGTAGCATTTTGCTTCTGTCAGGCTGCCACAGGGCAGCTGTGGTTACAGTATAGCTTACCACCATAAGCGTGTGAATGTGTG